CTAGACTCTCTCTTATCACGACTGTTTGCAGACCGTCCACTTCACGTTAGCAGAGTTACAGTCGGAAGTTGAAGCTGTCCGGGCTCTTCTTTATAGGTGAGTGCATTTGTACACCGCACCGGGCCCCATCCTTTTACAGTTGTTGAGGTTGGGTGTAACTCAGCACAACTGTGAGGGCTAAAGTCTCCTCATAGTTATGAACGCGGCATGAGACTTTCCGTTGGAAACGCTAATCAGTCTGAAAGGTGCTAAGCTGCAGCCAAAACAAAACCTAAGCCCTCGAATTCGCATCCTCGAATTTGCTTTTGCGCTATAACTATTGCTCTTCGGTCCCTTGCTATAACTTCTATGGCTCCTGAGATTACGGTAGATAGCCAGTTGCCCGGTGTTGAGCGAAAACTGAGGCTGTAAATTTTGTCACAGACACCGTGATTTGAAACGATATTTGTCTGGGCTTGATGCAGATCAAAAGCAGATGTGATTTTGAATGGAATAGAAACACGTGGCCCATTTTGAATGGCCATCAAAACCAAACCCTTAGTCCTCTTGCCTCATCTTTCTATATTTTTTTCTATCGGTGATTCAGAGCAGTTTTGTCACGACTCCATGGAGATGATGTCACTCTACTGGCGTCAATGACGAAATTAAAAGCTGGAAGATTGGCTCGAGTCGTCACTGATAGCTGTCTTCAGGTATTTCTACAGAGCGCTGCACTTAACGGGAAAAAACGCTGCTTTTTGCTCACCAATTCTGGCCCAACATAAGTCTTATTTTCAGTTTTGGGGCGGTAATGGCTTCACATGGGATAATCCAGTATGTCGAATGCACCGCGATCTCCGCCTACATTCCGTCGGAGCTGGAGCTGATGAAGTAATGCTGTCGATCATTTGTAAACACATGGGAATCGCCCCACACAAACACCGATTATAGTTTCTATTCAACTTTTGAACCATATTTATTATACTTGCATGAATAATAATAAACTCCTCTTTATGAAACGAACGCGTTAGTTTACTTAAATTTTCTCATTACTTAACCTGTCTCAAGGTGGCATATCTAATATGTACAGACAGCTTTAAATGAGTGGTGGCACTAAGACATTCCTTTTTTTGAGTTTCCACAATTTCGATGGAGAACTATGGAGCGGAAGCGGTACAGTCTCAAGAGGGGTTGCTCTCACATGCGCCCTTCCCCAGCTCAAACTTCGTTCATACACTCGAACTTCCTATTTCTCCAGCGCAGTTAATTAATGCTGTAGGTAGGTGATGGGGACATTTATATCTTTTGCTCCTAAGAACCGTTGCAAAGTGCAGGATCCCGATTCTTACTCCGATTCGGTGCAGGATTCATTTTGGAAATGTGCTCGGACCGCCTTACACAGATGTAGCTTTTTCACTTTAGATCCACGACTTTTTAGAACAAATT